GCGCTGCCGCCGAACAAGCTACCGGAGGAGCACGACGCGGGGCACCACCTCGTCCCGTCGGCCACCGGCGGCGAGCTGCTGCTGGTCCGGCACCTGTACAGCAGGTTCCTGGGCAGGCACTTCACCGTGTTCGTGGCGGACGTGGGCGGCGCGCGGTGGTCGGAGGCGGCGGCGTCGAGCCTGCGCGACCAGCTCATCTTCGTCGGCACGGGCTGCTCCAGGGCGCTCACGGCGTCGCACTACGGCGGCGTGGGCGCCATGCGAGGGAACCGCGTCTTCTACACGAACGACGTCGAGGCGTACAGTAGCACGCACAGCTATCTTGTCTACGACATGATCATGCGGTCAAATGGCCCGGTTTTTCCAATATATGATGATGATTATTTACACGAGGGGAGGAGGAGATACAGATACGAGGACACACGATACCGCTCCTGGTTCTTTCCTTCTTCCGTGTAATTCAATTCAGTAATGATTGATTAATTTGATTCATTTGTTGTAACTTCTACATTAACTATAGTTGAGTGTATTTTCAGTTGTCATAAGAATTACTATTAGCATGTTGAAAGTTGTCATAACTTGTTAACTATGAGTTTGTTTGGTTTGGAACGAATTTCTACCTTACCAAAATCTTGGTAGTGCTAAAACCTTGATAAATTTTGGCACTACTAATTAGGTAGTATTGAATTTGAACTATTGTAGCAAAATTTGGTAGCAAACCAAATATACACTTCTACTATTGAAGTTATCAAAATTTTAGTAAGGCAATAAGTTGGTATTAGACCAAACAAGTCCTATATTTTTAGTTATTATAAGAAATACTCCCTCCACTTTAAAAAGAAATTTTCTTGTCCTTAAAAAAAATACCTTGAGGTACCTAAATTTTATAATTAAATTTTTTAATAACTTGAGAGAGTATATAAAGATCAAATTTTATATTAAAAATTTTAATACTTATACCCCTTATTTTAAAATATGCTCCCTCCGTTTTATATTAAAGGGATCTTGCTTCTCGTACACTTTGCGTTATTGGTAGGTGAAATCTTGATCGCCACCAACAACCATGCATGCATTCACTTGCATTGCACGTGGTGAGCTCGGCGTTCGGCACGACGAATTGACCCATTATTGTACCTGTCTCTGCTGATCAATGAACAATGTCAGTGAAATCATGTACATAATTTCCCTCCTTAAATTTCACATGAAAAAAAATTGAAAACATACGACAGTTACATTTTTTTCCCCAAATTTTAATATACCTAACATCCAGTTGATATATTTTTGTAGTGAAGAAAAGGTGACGAAGTTATAACAGCCTCGATATATGTAAGCTGAGACCATATAGCTAGGTCCATGCTAGCAGGCATATGCAATGGGTAGCTCGATCTACTTCTGCTCTAGCTCGCTCGCTCTTCATGCTCATTGCTCAGGCTTTCTTTATATTCCAAATTTTTTCTTCAAACTTTCAACTTTTCTATCACATTGATCTTTTCTACACACATAAATTTTTAATTTTTTCGTCACATTATTTTAATTTCTTCAAACTTCTAATTTTGACGTGGAACTAAACATAGCCTCAGTGATTGGCGCCTGCTTAATGCTAAGTTAGGCCTAGGAGACATCGGGAACTCAACTTGCACATCTGCGCAGTACAAAGCTTAATTTCACTGTGGCCTAGCCTCGCGGATAATCCTCCAATCCGCTTCCTTTCAAACGGCCTTACGGTGGATGTCCCACCCAGCGTGCAACGAGGTGTACATGGAAATTGGAAAATTTTGTCTCTGCTTCGGCTCTCTGCTCGTGAAAGCGAAAGCTTCTGCTCTCTGCTCGTGTTGAACTCTGCAGCAGCGCAAGCATAGCATCAGTGCAGTAGTGGTGCACATGGTGATCGTCTACACAAGCGAGTTCCTAATGGATGCATTCGTTCGACATGTGTCTGCCGCTGAATGAATGTGCATAACTGAGACTAATAAATAGTGAGACTGAAGTCTTTTTTCACGAACGCGTAAAATAATTATGTATTAATTTATTTAAAGAAAGTGGGGGTTTTTTTACACAACCCAACCGACCAGATGGCAAATACCTGTGGCAAGGAAACAAAATGGATTGCTAGTGTCAAAAGAAAAACGATGCTCCTACATAGAGGGGGAAGGTGGCGGAAGAGCTCCACTATTAGAGCTCCACTAATCCCCCCCCTCCCCCGGCGCTGCCGTCGTGTTTCTCCTCCAGTGTTGCAACTTCAATCTGGGCCCTTGTGCTAAAGCGAGATCAATTGCGGCGTGCAGGGTTGTCCCCTCTCTTCTCCAGGATTCGTGGTCCTCCGCCGCCTGGTCGTCAACTCCACCGCCACCGCCGCTTCCTGGACGTCAACTCTACCGCTGCCGGGAACGATCGAACGCTGCATCTACCCTTGCTCATCTTTTCTCTCTTGATTCTACCCATCCCGGTTAGATGTGTTTTGGTACCGAACGGTATCAGTATCGACCGATACAACCTGCTAGACCGTAAAGACGCAAAAAAAAACTAGAAATAAGATAAACGGGAAAAAAGCCCACTAACTCCTCCCACTTGCATCCTTGTATACTGGCTCTCAGTATATACATTAACAGACATCACAAGGGTATATAGCTCCATGCCAACATTCAGGCATGTTGAATGCAAGGCTATAGCTCTGCTCTCTGCTCTAGCTTGTCGATGCTTGTTGCCCTGCATCTTGGCTCTTGTGCTTAGTGAGTGGTTAGTTAGGGATTAGTAGTCATCGGGAACTCGACATGTACATGTAACCCTTCAAATACTTTCACTTAGGCCTAGTGTTGCTTAGTCGCTTGCACTCTGCTTCCTCTAATTTTTCCTTCCCGTGCTCAAAGTTGAACTTCAACAAGGCAGAAAAACATTGTGCAGAGCTGGATCATGAAGAATGAAAGAGAAACAGGATTAGAACGCGGCGTCTGGCGGGTGGATGCGCATCGGCGTTTGTCTCCTTGTAATGGCTCGTTTCTTTCCTGATTACAATCTGGTCGACCATATTCGGCCAGGCCGAGTAATTCAACTGCAACTATCCGAAGGACGGGAAATTTTATAGTTTTTGAGGGAGATATAAAAAATTTTATTGTAAATTTTCGTACCTTCTAACATTGAGAGGTACTGAATTTTACATTTATCTTCTTAAGAGCTGTAAAATCACTTTTCTGGGAAATATCACATTGTTATCTGAGGCTTTCTTCCATCATTAAAAGGGTATATGTCAAGTGGTAAACTCAATTTTGATAGAACACTGACAGTGAATGAAGAGAAACTCGTAACCATTGATGACATCTTATTAAGACAAGAAAAGGTGATGATGTTACAATCTCAGTAAGTTGAGACCATATCTCTCTAAGTGAAAGTTGAAACCTAAAGTTCAATGACATTGAGCCATGTATCGTAAAAATATGGGCCATCGAATATAACAAATGATACAATACCTGCCGTTGGATCATAGATAAGTCTCGGTAAAAAAAAAAAAGATGAAAGATCAAGATTCTTCAAGAAGCTTCTAAAAGATGGCTGAGAAAGAGGACAAGAGAACCAAGAGATGGCATCTTCATCCCTAACAATAAATACTTCTTAACCTATGCTCCTAATAAATAAAATATATTGGAGAAAGTATTACTCTAATGGCCAATTCTCACACCTATTGGAGTATGAACTTAGTACAAGAATATACAGCACAGTGAATCTTTGTTTTGGTTTGACACAAAAAATATCTTTGAATTACCAAAAATTGTATTGGACTACACTTGAAATTTTTTTAAAAAAAATTAGCACACTTTATAATGTAAATGACTTAAACTTTTTTTATTTTAAGTATTTGGCACATCTTCCAAATTCAGCTTGACATATAAATTAATCTGTATTAGGCTCATTCGGCTAGAGGATGATGGGCTGGACTATAGCACAAAACGCCTTACCATCACCCCACACGTTAAAAAGATTGAAAGGCCAACGGTCTAACTCTAAATTTATGTCATTCCGAAAATAAAATGTATATCGACACTAAATTGCAAAACAGATATTAATTATTCGTTTTAACTGGATAGTCAAAATAAAATTATTAGCTTATATTTTACATGTAGATGTATATGGACGGGCTATATAGCCAGAGCACGAACGAAATATAAGGGTGCGATAAGAGGGCCATGCAGTGGTGAGTACGATGGGAAGGCAGCAGCAATGATGAGCATGTGTTAGGAGGGATACAAGTATAGTGTGCGTGAAAAATGATGTGTGAGTTTTGAAAAAAAAATAGTGATATATGTGTTCGTATTTTTCATGCATGTAATTAACTGGAATAAAAAATATGTTTGTATTATCACTAGACTGGCTGTTAATTTCACTCTACCATTGACTTTTTGATTTTCATTAACTGTAATTCGTCATTTACTTTGTTATCACAAATTTCAGCTAATTACTACCAATAAACACATTTTAAATAGAGAGGTTATAGTCGCGCGAATGCGTGACATAATATGCTAGGATATATATATATATATATATATATATGGGCCAATGCTAGCAGGCAGGCATACCGCATCTGCAAGCGACCATGCAATAAAAGTATAGTTCTACTAATTATGCTCTATCTATCTTGTTCATGCTCATTATACTGCTCAGTATCTCGACGCCTGTGTTTAGTGCTAAGTTAGGGGTTAGAAGGCATCGGGAACTCGACATGCAAATCTATGTTGTGCAATGCTTCAACTGTGGCCTAGCCTCGCGCATTGGCCTGCACTTTGCTTATTTGGATCAGTAGCCTTATCATCGTAGCAGATCTCCCCACTCAGCATGCAGAGTTTCAGACTTGAGAAGCGAGACACACAATTGGATACTTAGTTGAATCACGGGCATGGTCTGGATAGAGTTCCAAGACCGCATCCAGCAACTCTTGATCATCTACAGCTGAGCTTAGCTTACCTGCATAATTGTGCAGGATATGAACCGTTTGTTTGATCTATTCTAAGTAGTTTAATTCTTGTCGTTGTTCTATTGCAAAGGCAGTTAAAATAATTGGGGCAGATCCAGGATAATAAACCATTGGTCTGTCACCTCCATTACTCAGCCTCGTTCATACATGAACACTACAGTTTATAGCAGAGCAATGCATTCCCTTCCCTACCTCCTTGCGCACAACAAGAATCCATCAAGCAATGCACAGGCTACTGGGATCGGTGTGTATTGCAGTGAAAGCGAATGACTTGTGCTTCTCCAATATCAAATGCGTTTCACTCTGCTCGTGTTTAACTCTGCAGCAGCGCAAGTTAGTGTCAGTGCAGTAGTAGTGCACATGGTGATCACTGATCAGCTTGGCATTCTACTTAATTACCTGCGCTGAATGTCTGTATGTAGGCAGCTGATCGATGAATAATGTGACTGAAATAAAGTGTGTCGACCCGGAAAAAAAAATAAAGTGTGTCAAATCTCCCCTCCTTAAATTTCACTGGAAAAGATGAACGGGGTAGCAATGCCATACCAACAACAGTTAACTCTAGCTCCTACTAGTACAAATAAACAAGACATCACAGGGGAGTATACATTTATTTATAGCTCCATGCCAACAGGCAAGCATGTCGAATGCAAGGCTAAGCTCTACTTCTGCTCAAGGCTCTAGCTTGTTGATGCTCATTGCTCTGTATTGTATCTTAGTGCTTGAGCTTAGTTAGAGAGTAATTAGAGCTTAGGAGGCGTCAGGAACTCGACATGCGCATCTCTGGATTGTGAGTCTTTCACTTAGGCTTAGCGTTGCACGATAGCTTGCATTCTGCTTCCATTATTCGCAATATCAGCGCTCCAGGATGAGCTCCATAGTGGCATAGAAACATTGTGGGGAGCTGGATCACGAGGAAGGGAAGTACGCAGCGTCCGGCATGCCGATGCCTCCGTTGCACAATGAGACATGGGATTTAGATCAATTGTTAACTTGTTCTTAGTGGTATCGTTCTTCTAAGCAATTTGCAACACTTCGATCTCAATTAACAGAAAGGAAGGCCGGTTCTTCCTCTTGATGTTTTTATCCTGGCCAAAATACTCAAATTTGCATAAATCCTGAGCTGTCCATTATCCGATCTCTCTTACACACTAGCATTTCAGTTTACCCAACGGATCCTTACTTCTCATACACTGGGCTGGTGGTATCAGAGTTGGTGGGCGACGGACCACGACGACGGGGGTAGAGGAGGCGAAAGCCTAGCCCAGTGTTTCACTGGACCGGCAGCGGCTACGCCTTCAAGCACGGTAACAAAACACTTGGTCGGCAGCGGCTACGCCTTCAGGCGCGGTAACCCTCTTGGGGGCATTGTCGAGGTACCCTCCTCCTTCGACGAGGATCTCTAGGTGAAAACCATGTCTAGTCTCTTTGGACGGACAACGACGGCGTCTTTTGACGTCACTACCTTCGTGAAGGCGTTGTCTTTTTTAGAATATCCGTTATGTGGTGTTGTTGTAAGCCCGGCGACGACCTGCCTTGCATAGCGGCGGCCGGTTCGGTGTTCGGCTCTCTTCTTTGTAGCTTGTGTTTGTGCGGTTGGCATGTGGTGTCGGGGAGTGTGCTTTGGTGCACATCCTTCCTCGACAACTTGTTGTCGATGAAAAACCTTCTTGTAACATTTTTTTCCTCCTCTATCTTAATAACATTGGATGACCTCCTTCGGTCATCCCGACAAAAAAAAAAGTCTTAATTTTTGGCAGGACAAATATTGATCGCCATCAAGGCACCAAACCATGCATTCACTTTGATGCACAGATGCATGTACACATCAGAGCAATACATCCGTTCCTAGCTCTCCTTATGTACAACGAAAGTCCATCAACATATAGGGAGAAATAACCTGTAGTCTTTTAGGCTTTTTCCCTTCTCCATTTTCTTGGCTTATGCTTGGAATGACTCATGAAAAGTTCTAGGCAGAAGGAAGGATGTCGAGGGCCACTTCCTTCAGTGATGGCATCTCTTCTTGTTCATGCAAGCAGAAGAAACTGCCACCTATGTTTCTCAGAACCTTCCAAGGCCCAGGATAACACCTGCCAGACAACAAAGTTTCGGCAAAATCACACGTTTAATCTCCACAGTTTGCTCCATAAAGGTTCTGAATGCAATCATGTTTTTCTCCTGATGAGATAAACATACTGCAACTTATACCAAACTAAATTTCTGCAACTACATCTTGGTATGGTGAGTTGATGGTAACAACAAGCTGAATATATTTGTTTCAAAGCATTACATATCAAGAAACAATAGCCATGCTGGCGATGGTGACAATAATAACAATAAAGGATAGAACGCAACATTCAAGTTGTCATGTTAACTAGAGCATCATTCAAACTGGGTAACAGACAAAATCAACTAGGGTTATTGGAGTGTAAGTAAGTTAATTATCTTGCCAAACACAGTTAATCGGATCCTCCAAAAAGTATGGCAGCTGAAGGCATCTAATTTGGGTGCCATATCATTGGTACATTGATTCAAGAATGATTGGCCAACATAAAACTGTATAATCAGTCAATGAATTAATTAATTATAGCTAGACCAAAACTTGCTCATGCAAAAGCATAGACATGAGTCAGTGGTGCTAATTTTGGAGAGCAACAGAAGAAGGCTGGAATATGCAAACCTGAAAAGTGTTCCTCCTTTGAGTCCCTTAAAATTGTGAATATAATAAACTGTCTCCAGCTTTGGAAGAAATGTTTTGGAAAGTTCCGCTAGCTTTGGGTAGAAGAAAGGAGGGTAGTCTTTGATTGGTCAAGGAAATGAACCAACACAAATGATAGCTAACTAGAATTTCACAAGCATACTATTTTCAAACATCATCAGCGCAGCTTCTCTTTTGTTGAGGAAAGTCACTAGCACTGCAAAATTTACACATCATTTGTGATGCAGGAAAACAGGTTTGATTTAAAAACAAATTTAATAACTTGTTTGGCATAAGATCAACTGTTTGGCATCATATATGCACTAGAATTAGCAGTTTAGCACAGAATAATTAGCAGTTTTGTCATCATATGAAATACAAACTCTAAATTACAAACAAGGATACACCCACTTCTTATTCGATCTAGTTCCCCGTTGAATATTATCAGTTTTCGGTCTGTGCTAACAATTGCTTCCTTGTAAAGCTCTTCAACCACAAGCATTTCTGGAAAACATCATCATCATATTAGTGAAGTGGTAAACTCAACTTCGATAGAGCAATAATAATAAACAGAAACACATACCATTGACATTGAAATAGGGATAAGCCACGAGGAATATCTCGTCTTCTGGACGCACACGGTCTGACATTTTGACCTTTGTTGTAAAACCAAAATCTTCAAATAGGGATGGTTTTGTTAGATAATCTAGCTTCAGGGAACATCCTTCAAAGGCAGATTGTCTTGCAAATGAAACTTCATTTGCCTCAGGGAAGAACTGAAACATGTCAGATAATAAAAATGGAATCAAGCAGGACATTTCAAGTTTAATTTCAGCACACTGGTTTGTGCTTCAATCACTGGTAGAAAACTGCCAGTGATTATCCATGTACAACTTTGTCTTTTTGCTGTTTATAAATGAGAGTCAGGAATACATTTACAGATTAGCCTGTAGTACTAGTTACTAGAAAATGGTCAGAACATACGATTCTGGTTCTTGTAGCTTTCTCAGCAGGGACAAAGCGATCACAGAATTCTCTTATAAGAAGCATGCTTCCAGTCATCTCAATTCCACCTTCACTGTCACCTAAAAGTAAAATAGAATCTTATATGGTATCCTTTCCACCTGAGTCCTGACCAATATCTTATAACAAGGTAATATACATAAAGGTTAGCTATGTAGAACCTGGTACAGATTGTAGTCCTGCTGTAGGGAACTCAATTTCCTGAAATACATTGCATCACAATTTCTTGTGCAAAAAAAGGAATAAAAAAATAAGTCAGACAGTGGACAGATTAAGGCTTTACCAATAGCTGCTTCCCATCCTTAAAAGCTGACTCAGCAGCTTCTTTTGCCTGAAATCACTACATGTATAGTGAATTAGTCATTCGATTATTCTACTCCCTCCATCCCTAAACAAGTGCATAGTTTCTGGTTATTACAGAAATACAGTTTCCAGCTTCAGTATATTGGATATCCCAGTACAAAATTACACATAAACCCTTCATATGTTATTTTTTGGACATCTATCCACAACGATGACTTCGCAACTAGTTCAGTAGAGTGCAAAAAATGAGACATCTAAATGCGGTGCCTTTGATTATACACCTATGGTGCTCCATCAGAACAGGTAACATGCACGGAAAAGTTCAGTCTTGCTGATAAGCAACCCATCAAGATTCTTTTTATGAGGTGAGATCTCACAAAATTTTGACCAAAATGTACATGAACCACCCATATTTCAGTAATATCATCACTTAAAACAAACAGCTGGCATTGTTAATTCAGTAATGCTGCCACTGTCTGAATTTTTTAAGTGGGTTAACTGGATTATCTTAATTGAGCAGTTGCAATAGCGAGCTACATGCTTATAGTTATATATACTCAAGTAAAGAGACTAAGATAAGCATGCTTTATGATTATCAACTATCAGTGAACAAGTTTTCACACTCTGACATTAAGTACCTGCGCTAGAAGTTCAGTGTAATCGCTTGGGAACTCTGCCCCAGACACATTGCGAGTGCCCTGACCTCCATTGACGGCACAAACATGGAACCCAGTTCTTAAATTCCTCTTTGTTGTAGTATAAATACCACCAGTGTAGTTGCCCTTGCCTTTGCTGATTGCTCGAAGTACCCAACCTGGGACCTTGAAAAAAAAAATCCAAGACAATGCATAAGCAGAAATGCTGATAATAAGTACAACATTAAGAACAAAAGATGTTGTAGCTTGTTTGTGATAGCATACCTGTTTATTGGGAAAGGAAGTTTTGGATAATGGAGGATTGGAGATGGAGCAATAACTGGTTGCCATGGTCACTGAACACTGGGGATGGGATTGGTGTGTTGGAGAGGGAGGGAGGGAGAAACAAAGAAGGCTATGTGGTAATGTAGAAATGTTTGAGCAGCAATCTGTTTGTGGGGCCTTACTGTGTGGTCTCCAATTGGAGAGAGATGGGGGAAAATATCTTGTCTGTTATGACAGTTCTGTGCATATGCTGCCATTGGGTGATAAGATGGAGACGTTTTCTCTGCTAGTTTTGTTTTAAAAATTTTAAGATGGTGGACAACTATACAGAGGAAATCTAGTATTTTGCATATAGCAGCTTAAAATCTTGGTTGAGAAATGAGTTGCCTGAACAGAAGCTGAGTAAAAACAAGCGGTTTAATGCTCCAGTACTTCACCTTGCCTTTGCTTCTGTCAGCCATGGACACAGAGGATACCTACCAATTGGCAAAATGTTGTTTTGAGCTTCTCGATGTTAGCCTTGTAAGGAATCCTCAGAATAGAACGGAGTGAGGTCCAGCATAATGAATACTTTCAGTAAGCAATTTCCATCTGGGCATATCCTGGCCTCGACCAAAAATCGGTGTCTGAACTCTGAAGCCATGAAGATCGTCAAAAATAGTAGAAAGATCACACAGAAACTTTCCGAATCCATTCTGACGACCATAGCACCAAAGCACTCTGCCTCTTCTACTTCGGCTTATCTGCTCAAGTCTCAATCCAAGTATCTGCTAAAGCTCGACAGAATTTGACAGCAATACAGTACAGCGTCGCACACCGAAACCGAAGTCAGAAAGCTCCCCCCGCTCTGCAGATATGCTTCCTCTTGGTTTAGCTAGAAGATCATTGTCAGCCACGATTAGCCATTCCCCGATGGCATCATGTCAAACTAAAGAGCTCCCTGGCCTCGGCGCCCCTCCTGCTCCTCGCGGGGGCTCGGGCCACGAGCGGAATCCCTCGTCGGCATTACGTCGAACACCACGCGGGCGTCGGCGGGCGAGCATCCGGTTCCAGATGAAGCCCAGAGCCATGCTGGTTGCAGACTTGCAGGCTTGCGAGCTCCACGCGAACGCGCGGCGGGGACTACTCCGCTCCGCTAGCCGGGCAGAGGGTGGTGATGCCGCGATGCCTGAGGTCTACCGGAGGATATCGCCGGCGGCGTGCTCCGACGGCGGCGGAGGAGAGGAGCGGCGGTGGCGTCTGCTTCGGGTAGCGTGTTTCGCCACGTGTACGAATCTCGGAATGTTTCCAGGCGCATCCAACGACCTAGAGTTTCTTAAACTTACTATGGAAAGATACCACAGAATTCTTGCATCCAAACATACTACCTCCGTTTTTTAATAGATGACGCCGTTGACTTTTTCTCACATATTTGATCATTCGTCTTATTTAAAAATTTTATACAAATGTATAAGATATAAATCACACTTAAAGTACTATGAATGATAAAACAACTCATAACAAAATAAATTATAATTACATAAATTTTTTGAATAAGACGAATGGTCAAATATGTGAGAAAAAGTCAACAGCGTCATCTATTAAAAAACGGAGGGAGTATTATATGAGAGGAAGTTTAATAGTATAGCCAACTGCTGGCTCTAAATCATCTATAGTCAACTTAATAGCTAATTCATACAATAGTTACTTATAAACATATACTGCATAATTAATATCTGGTCCCACATGTCATACACATGCACCTTGGAGGAACCTTAAGTCCGTGCTACAGCTGGCTACAAATCTGTAAGCCGTTGCCCTTCTCTCTTCTCTTTTATCTCTTCGAAATGTGTTTATAGCTGGCTTATAGCCTGCTATTGTACATGCTCTGAAGTAAGTATAGTACATTTCACATGCATCAATGGGTACTAGATCTTTTATGCAAATGTAGGTGTAGAAATGGAAAAGAAAAACAATAAGTGTTTTGCAATAGCAAGCTTAATCATAATGATTCAACTATAAAAACTTCAACATCCTCATTGCAAATAAATCACCTGCTACTTGCATCCAAAACCAGGAGATGAATTAAATCTAGGGAAAAAAATGAATTTAACAATCAAAATTATAGTTTAACGCTAAAGGATACATATCCTCGAATAGGTGACGAAGTAACACCAACAATCAAACTAAATGGTGGTTCTTCCTAACAAACATCACCAAGAACTCTATTACCGAACAAATAGAATTTTCCCCATGACTAATTTATCAGAAAAATCCTGCAAAATCCGCTCCTTCCAAGAGATTTCTAAAAACCCTGAAACAAACTTGTCGCAAAAAATCACATGGCTCCTGGCGGTGCACCTGGATGGGGAGCTGGGAGAGATGCATTGCGGAGGACCGACATGAGCAGGTGGTTGTGCAACCGGATGTTCTCTCTGCCGATTGTCTGAATAACCACCCTATCGAACATCGACTTCTCCATCCTTGAACCCAAGAACATCTTCAAGTATCTAAAGTATCGCTCGGATCTCTCATGCCCAAGCCTTGTCTGGATCAACTGCTTGATCTCCATGGTGTTGATGCGACTTGGGTAGGGAGGGATTCTTGGTATGGTGAGCGGTGTGTTGCTGGTGCTGGTGTTTGTATTAGATTGTCCTTGAGCATTATTGGGACTGCAAAACGTTCAGAGTCAATGATGAGCAACCATATTTAGGCATGTTTAGACAGTAAGTACAAGGCTATGCAAATAAGAGGGGCATGTTCAGTTTGAAATGTTCACTTTTTAGCCAAAATGAGCTTAAAAGTTTGTAACAACCATGTAACTTACATGAAACTCTCTGTGATGGACTAGGACCCTCCAATGAATGGAGGAAAATTAGAGAATTCCTACAAGAATTGAACTACTTCATGTAAAAGACCCACAAAATTCACACATTATAATAAAGGAGTACTGAATGTTTGTTTGAGTAAAATAATTGTGACCAATGCACGTTGATTTTCTTTTTATACACATAGAAGATTTTACTTTTATTTCTCTTGGAAAAAAACTATATCTCATATCTCATATGGCTTTGATTTCAAAGATCTCCCCGTCTCTTTTCAGATTATTCATTGGATTATGTGCTATATCTTAAAAAAATACATCTTCTAAAAAAATTTTCTACTGTATTATTAAATCATTTAATTTTAGCTATTGTTTTTTATTTATTAAAATATTGAATTTATCTCTTTAGTTAAATAGACTATTAATAATATTTCTCTTAATAATATACATATAAGGATGTGTTCGATATATTTGGTTGGAAACTAATCCCTTGGACATGTTAAATGGAGTGCCTCATATAATAATTAATTAAGTACTAGTTTAAAAGATTTGAAAATAAATTAACATGATTTTTTAAAAAACAACTTTTCTACAAAAAATTGTTATAAAACATACTTATTTAGTAGTTCGGAAAACATAAGCGCGAAAAACAAGAAGGTGAAGTTGAGAAAGGGAATTATAGGAGGGCCTATTTAGTTTGGTGTCATTTTAAATCATACCACTATTTGATAAAATTGATAAATATATAGTTGCATTTAGTTTAGTAATACATAGGAAATTTTGGTACACCATATTTGTCTCATCCTACCAAAATTTAGTAATTCTGTCAACTTATCAAAAATTTAGTATTATCAAATTTTGGTTAGGTTAATTTTAGCAGTAATCTGAACATGCCCGAAGTCAACTTTAGTAAACTACTTATAGTTGGCAGCTTTGGCGCCACGCCAGCAATTTCTGCCTGTGGAGAGCTCTGGCCCACTCTTCAGTCTTCGGATTCTCCACTCTTCTCTCCTCCCCCGCGCCCGCAGATCGGCGCGACGGCGACCGCGGCGGCGGCGCGCGATGAGCCTGAAGCACCCGCACTCTCCGGTGCTGGACGGGGACCCGCCGCCGCACCGCCGCCCGCGGGGCCTCGTCTCCACCCCACCCCCACCCGCCGTCGCGGCCGACACCTCCCCCTCCCCCTCCCCCTCCCCCGCGGCGCCTCCGCCTCGGCGGCGCGGCGGCGGCGGAGGGGGAGGCGAGAGGGAGAGGGAGAGGGAGAAGGAGCGGACGAAGCTGAGGGAGCGGCACCGCCGGGCCATCACCAGCCGCATGCTGTCCGGGCTGCGGCAGCACGGCAACTTCCCGCTCCCCGCCCGCGCCGACATGAACGACGTCCTCGCCGCCCTCGCGCGCGCCGCAGGGTGGACCGTGCATCCCGACGGCACCACCTTCCGCGCCTCGTCGCAACCCCTCCACCCTCCCACCCCCCAATCGGTCCGTGCATCTTCACCAATCTCCTGCTTCTCCCTCCACTTGTTTATTATCATTTCAATTTATTCAGTTCAGTTTACTTTGCCTTCTTACTTACCAGTGCATGTTTACTGTTACTGTATCGGTAGTTTGCGTTTATCTCTTAGTGTACAATGATATGATTGGATTTTGTGAGAAAAAACTAGTCATCTTCTAACACATTGTTGTTTTTAATGTTATTTGCAGCCAGGGATTTTTCATGTTAATTCTGTTGAAACCCCATCTTTTACTAGTGTTCTCAACAGCTACGCCATCGGGACACCATTAGACTCGCAGGCTTCTATGCTACAAACAGATGATAGTTTATCGCCATCATCGTTGGACTCTGTTGTGGTGGCAGACCAAAGCATAAAAAATGAGAAATATGGGAATTCAGATTCTGTCAGCTCTCTGAATTGTTTGGAAAATCACCAGGTAAGAAAAACAATGTCATTTGTTTGGCTTAGCTAGTTTTTGATATTCCAACTTGTGTAATCCCTCACAGATTTTCTTTTGCCTACTACAATTCCTAAGATCAAAATTGTTTGAAACACTTTCAAGTTCATTCTGAAAAAGAAAAGGAAAGGGTGCCCCTACATTGACTTGAATAATGGGTAATATATATGTGATATATGAAAAACCAACTTGTAGATAATAGTATGAATGTAGTTGGGAAAAGTGATCCTTCTAATTTTTTTGCCACTACAAAACTTGTATGGAAGGAATTGAACCTCCTCCATTGCACTCGACTCATAGGTTTGTAACTTCACATAAATTGGATCCATGCCATTATTAATTTGCCAGTTTAGAAAAATACCATTATAATTCTTATAATTGAAACGATACCACTACAACTATCCTCAAATTGAAACCATGCCATGTTATACGCCTTTTTTTCTACTGTATTTTTGTATGGACCAATATACCCCTATCTTCTTCCTTCCTCCTCCTCTCCCTTCTGTTCATCTTCTCTCTCCATCTCTTCCTCCATCGATGCAGCCAGTGGAGCTTGAGGTCGTCTTGCCTCCTCCTCTTGCGGCGCTGCTCGTGTGTGGTTCCACGGTGGTCCAGCTCATGGGCGGTTCCATGGCAGGGTCGGCCGATGGACACCCAGAAGAGGAGCAGCGAGAGAGGAGCGGCGACGGCAGGGTCGGGGCGTGCGCCGGTGCCGCCGCTGGGGCTGAGCCAGTCCCCGCAGCCGTTCACTCTTCCTCCTCCCATGCTGTTTCTGCTGTTATTGCCGCCATTGGTTCCGTATGGATCCATGCCGCCGCGACGAGCTTGTTGACGTAGCTCACAGCCAGATCTGCTCGCCGCCACGCAGCTTGTTGTCGTTGCCGGGTCAGCTCTCCGCCGCGCCGAGCTGCTGTAGGACCATCTGTCTCCGAGACTTTGCCGCCGCTGCGACGAGCTCGCCGCCGCTGCCGGTAGTAGTGGTCTTGTGTACCAGTTAGTCGCTAGAGGAGAGGGGGATGCGGACAGGGTAGAGCGATGAGTGCTGCCAAATCCTAGCCCCTCGCCTCCATCGTTGCCGGATCCGTGCCCCCTCGCTTGCGTCGTCGTCGGACCCACGTCGCCTGCCCCCTTGCCTGGACGCTGTCGGATCCATGCGCCCGATCTGCCGAAAACCGCCGCCGGAGAGAGGAGCGCTAGCCGAGTCCTGGAGCAACGCCCGACGCTGACAAGAGGGATGCCAAGCTCCGCCACCGGGGAGAGCTCCTGCTCACCAAGAGTGAGAGAGAGAGAGAGCATGCTCATGCTGTTCTACCGAGGAGGATAGGAAGGTTGAAGATGAGGGCATTTACGTCAAATTTATGTAAAATATGTATATCAATGGCATCATTAAAATTACAAATGAACAGCAGTGGCACAGTTCCAATTAACTGAATTATAATGGTAAATTTTCAAACAGGCAAATTTATAATGGCATGAATCCAATTAACCCATGACCTAAAGAAATCTAACAAATTATTTTCATTCTGAACTGT